CCCAGGCCTCTGGGTGAAAGTCTTTGGGGATAGGGTCCTAAAATCTAGATTTTTAACAATCTCCAGAGGAGGTTCTTATGAACATCAGAATTAGAAAACAGCTGCCCTGAAACCATGTGACTTTACCATCCCCTATTTGTTTCCTTTGTTCTTTTTCAAGTGTGTTAGATGGCTGCGTCCTTACTTTCCTGCATCCCAGCCTCGGTTGCACGGCTAGTGCCGCACACACCTCAGCACCCTTTGCTGGGAGGGAGTCTCGGGGAGTGGGTGCACACCCAAGTCAGCTGGGGATTTTCCTCAGAGCTTTCCAAAAGCGTGACTCGTGCGTCTGGACTATGGCGGCCCTGGAATAAAGGTCCCGTGGTGCAATCAAGCTCAGCGTCGAGGGTGGAGTCTGGGACTCTCTGCAGCTGCTGAGAAGAGCAGGGAGACATCCTCAAACAAAGCCAGTGGGGCCATGGAGAGATTTTGGGTTTTGCAACCACCAAGAGGAATGGGCAGGGCACTGGACCTTTCAGCCCACAAGGGCAGATGTCCAGGTTCACTGGGCTTGGGGCCTGCAGCTCTCCACCTGGGGCCGCCTGCAGCTTGTGTTCCTGCTTCAGTTTATCCCACTACACTGTCACCCGTGACAATGCCCACAGCCCCCAAACATGCAGACCCCTCCCTCTAGCCTATGCCCTGTTGTTCTGGATGTCCAGCCTCCTCTCATCTGAGATGCATTCTCCCGAACTGACCACTCCCTTTGTGGCTGCTGGGACTTCAAGAAGATGGCGCTGGAGGCCCCTCAGATTAAGAGCCATAAAGCCACCTCCCCAGCCTCCCTTAAGTCCCTCTCCCATCCTCCTCTACGTAATTTCACTCCTGTCCTCTCTGTCCCCCTCTGTCTTTTGCCCTTCCTGCCTTGATAGATTGAAACCAACATTGTGTTCCGGCTTCTTGTGGTCCCAGTAAAGAGCTCTAATGTGGCCGTGGTGGATGGGGAGAAGGGAATGATGAAAGTGTGTGTGCCGGAGTGGGGGATGGGGGACTTTTATCTTGTCTCTGATGGAAGGAGGAGGGGCACGTGCTCCACAGATCCTGCCGCTATACTGGGGTTTCAGCAGAGCCCCCATGGGGGCTGGATAAGCCCGGGACCCGCCTGGGTATTCTCAAAACTTCCCTTGGATAGGAAGAGGAGGACAGCTCAGCAACGGTGCTGAGTGGCCTGGAGGGTGCAATCTGGGGCCAAGAGACATTTCCATTTGTAGTTAGCAAATGAGTTAATTAAACAATTTACATCTGTTCGATTTTCTTACTATGCCTTAGTGGCTTGGCTATGATTGTTCCTGATGTTGTTGCTGCAAACAGGAGCCCACTTGGGGATAGATTACATGACAGAATAAGTTTAACATTGACATTTTCAAAATCGATGCAGAGTGGGGCTTGGCCGCAGAAGCAAGGAAGGGCTGAGATATCAGGTAGTCAATTCTCTGTCCTGCCTGGGGGATGCCTCCACAGCTCTCCTGCTTCTCTGTTAATCATGACTGAGATGCTGCAGGGGCCTATGTGCTTTCTGATTTGAATTTGCCCCCAGTGGCTCTCACTATGGAACATGTCTAAGTGGGGAAGCCACTGGACACACCAGCCTTTGCTTTGCAGCTCCCCACTTCTCAGACCACATGAGCATGAACTTGGGGGATGAGGAGGCACAAAAGATGGAGGGGATCACTGGCCCAGGAGGGGAATTCTGGCACCTCACAGTGTAGGCGGCAGAGGGGGTGCCCTGGCCCAGGAGGGAGCCTGCAGCTTTCTAGGGACAGTGAGAAGGAAAGCCAGCTCTTCAGATTTCAGCCAGCTGGTCCAAGGGGCCCCATCCTCGAGAGAACCACCCCAGAGATGTGAGTGCATCAGAGGCGCCTGTCTTCCATGCTTCGCCCTTCTAGAAACGGGCAGCTGGGGTCTCTTCTTTTTTTTTTTTTTTTTTTTTTGAGATGGAGTCTTGCTCTGTCACCCAGGCTGGAGTGCAATGGTGCGATCTCGGCTCACTGCAACCTCTGCCTCCCAGGTTTAAGCAATTCTCCTGCCTCAGCCTCCCAAGCAGCTGGGATTACAGGCATGTGCCACCACGCCTGGCTAATTTTTTGTATTTTTAGTAGAGGCGGGGTTTCACCATTTTGGCCAGGCTGGTCTTCAACTCCTGACCTCAGGTGATCCGCCTGCCTCGGCCTCCCAGACTGCTGGGATTACAGGCGTGAGTCACCATGCCAGGCCGAGTTCTTTTTTTTGCGTAGCAAGGAGCTTAGTTTTTTGGAGGGAGCAGGCATGAAGGTCAGCCTCCCTCATCCTGCAGGGAGAAGACCCCTTTACGATGATAATAGGGGGATTGGAAGAGGCAACTGTGCCTGGTCGTGCGTCTTAGCAGCCTTTAGGGGTCTAGGCACCGGGCCAGGTTGGTAGAGATTCAGAATGTATTTTAGCCAAAACTCCTTTTCAGTTCAGACCAGCCCCTAGCCCTGGGCCCTGGGCCCTGGGCCACTGCAACACTCTGGTCCTGTGTTGTCTGGTGCTGGTGTTGGCTGAGGTCCCAAAGCCTTGGGGAAAACTGGGGGCAGAGAGATGGATCTGGAGAGGTCAGTAAATGAGGAGGGCATCCAGTCCCCAGGGTGTGTGTGTGTGTGTGTGTGTGTGTGTGTGTGTGTGTGTTTAGGGGTATGCAAGTGCCTGGTGGGGCATCTTTGTGCTAAGTTCTCTGTGTTGTAACATGGCTGGACTGTGGTCTGTGTGTGTGTATGTTGATTGGGATGTTCCTGTTTTGTGGTCGTCTGATCACTTGTTTTTGGCCATGGGCTTCTGTCAGAGTGTTTATTTTTAGAGGCTGCCACTTCTGGCCTCAGGGCTGATCTTTGGGCATGGTAGGAACATTTGTATTTTCTGAAATATTTGTGGCTTTAAGTATTTATTTGGGGGTGTTCCTGCCTGTTATCTGTTTATTCTAATTTGTGTGTATGTGTGTGTGTGTTTGTGATATGAGGGAGGTGTAGTATAATACAAATTACATACTCTTTGAAGGAAATTAGCTCTGATTTTAAATCTTGGCTTTATCAGGTAGCATTGTTGGCAAACAAACAGTTTTCCCTCTCAGAGGCTCAGTTTCTCCCTTGCTGTGATCGGTGTAATACTGTCTGGCTCGGAGACGATGGCTAGAGAGGATGCGTGTGTAGAGTACCCGGCAAAGTGTTGGCGTTTGGGCTGTGCTCACTGCATGGTGGCCACTGTTGTTGGTATTTGTGTGCACATGTTCATGCCAGTGCTTTCTGACTGTGGTTCTTGGCATTGTGTGGCACCCAGTGCGTGCTCCTGCCTGGGTGTTTCTGATTTGGGTGATCTCTGACTGTCTTTTTGTCTGGCTTGGAGTGTGACTGCTGGTGTCTGGCTGGAGCTGGTGCAGGCTTTGGGAGAGGGTTTTTTTCCTTGCTAACGGAGAGCCTGGATTAGAGTGAGGGGAGGTGCATGTGTATGTGTGTGTGTGCCTGTTGGGGCTGGCGGCTGGGCTGCTGACTGTACAGGGTGTGAAATCACTGAGTTCCTCTGGGCGGGGAAGTTCTTCATTCCTGAGTCAGCCCTTTGGCCCCAAGCCACCCAGCGCTCACTTTTTCCTTCCAGAGAAAGTGTTGCTCAGGGGGGTCCTCTGAGCTGTCTGCAGACAAGAGGACTCTCTCACCCCTGAAGACATATTGTTTTTGTGTTCACGATCCCTAAGATGCTTCTCCTCCTGCCGTAGTCCCTGAACCCCCTGCATCAGCACCCTATATGCTCCCCATCCTCCAGCACAGAAAAAGCATGTCCCCTCTGACACAGGGACTGTTGGCTTGGCTGAGCCCCACCTTGGCCCGTTCTTCAGGGGCCCCTGGGCTGGCTCAGAGAGGTGGGATCAGGACGCTCGTCTTTGCAGACCTGCTGCGATCCTGCCTGGCCTACCTTCCCTGGACCCGCATCCCTTTCCTGGAGTCTTGGGTGGTATGGGCTGAGCTTGCTGGTGGAGGGGTGGGGGTCCATCAGGAGTGGGCAGTGCTGGGGAGGAGCTGGGAGGAGCCTCTGGAAATGTGGCAGTGGGCAGCATGAATGACGTTGTATCTCTGAATGGTTCTAGTACATCTTTTGCATTGAGCTGGAGACAAATCTAGCTGAGGGCAAGCTTGTCTTAGAGAGTCCCAGCTCTGCCTTCAGCCTCCCTGCCACCACCACCTTGGGCATGGTGGGGCCCTTCGCTGCACCCTACTGTCCTCCTGAGTTCTCCCCCTGCTTACCTGGGCAAAGGCTATCCTCAGAGGCGACTGGCCGTCCATGCTGATACCTCTATGGGCATTCAAGGCAGTGGCTACTCTCTTGGCGTTCTGCCTCTAATCCAGAGTGGGAACTCCAGAAATCGAAGCAGGGGTGAGACTTTCTGAGGTGGGGTGGCGGAGGGAACTGAGGATGCGTTGGAAAGGGTCATTTAGGAATTAGTGATACTCATAATGGCAATGGTTAGGGCTCCCAGCTGTTGACCTCCCACCACGTGCCAGGAACTGGTCTCGGCACATCATGTGTCAACTCATTTAAACTCGAAGCACTGTGTGTTTAATGAATATTGGCAATTTTAGATGGTTCAACCGGATTCTGTTATGATCCCCATTTTATGGACCAGGAGACTGGCTCAGAGAGTTATTCATGCCTCTGGTCAGGAAGCTGGTGAAATGCCAGAGCTAGGTTTGGGACTGGAGCGATTTACCCCCAGCGCTTTCTGTTCAGTGTTGGGCTCCGCTGCCTGACCCTGTGTTGGTGAGGCTCTGCCCCAAAGCCTAGGGTAGAGGTATTTCCGTCATCTCCCCTTTTCCCCACCTCAGGGTGCTGAGAGGAGGTTTTAGGATGCAGGGAATGGGAGCTGTTAGCTTCTTTCTCTGGAAGAGTGGATGATACCCCTGCCTCCCACTAATGTCTGCTGTCTGTTGTCTCCCCTCCGGCTCTGTCCCTTGCAGAGGTGGTGGGACACACACAGGGGCCACTAGATGGGAGCCTGTATGCCAAGGTGAAGAAGAAAGACTCCCTGCACGGCAGCACCGGGGCTGTCAATGCCACACGTCCTACACTGTCGGCCACCCCCAACCACGTGGAACACACGCTTTCAGTGAGCAGCGACTCAGGCAACTCCACGGCCTCCACCAAGACAGACAAGACCGATGAGCCTGTCCCTGGGGCCTCCAGTGCCCCTCAGGCAGCCCCTGCTGCCCTGAGTCCCCAGGAGAAGCGGGAGCTGGACCGCCTGCTGAGTGGCTTTGGCTTAGAGCGAGAGAAGCAAGGCACCATGTACCACACCCAGCACCTCAGGTCCCGCCCAGTGGGGGGCCCGGCTGTGCCCTCCTCTGGACGCCATGTTGTCCCTGCCCAGGTTCATGTCAATGGCGGGGCATTAGCATCTGAGCGGGAGACAGACATCCTGGATGATGAGTTGCCAAACCAGGATGGTCACAGTGCGGGCAGCGTGGGCACACTGTCTTCCCTGGACGGGGTCACCAACACCAGTGAGGGGGGCTACCCAGAGGCCCTGTCCCCACTGACCAATGGTCTGGACAAGCCCTACCCCATGGAGCCTATGGTCAATGGAGGAGGCTACCCCTACGAGTCTGCCAGCCGGGCAGGGCCTGGCCATGCTGGCCACACGGTCCCCATGCGGCCCTCCTACTCTGCACAGGAGGGTTTAGCTGGCTACCAGCGGGAGGGGCCCCACCCAGCCTGGCCACAGCCAGTGGCCACCTCCCACTATGCCCATGACCCCAGCAGTATGTTCCGCTCTCAATCCTTTTCGGAAGCCGAACCCCAGCTTCCCCCAGCTCCAGTTCGAGGGGGAAGCAGCCGGGAGGCTGTGCAAAGGGGGCTGAATTCATGGCAGCAGCAGCAGCAGCAGCCTCGCCCACCTCCACGCCAGCAGGAAAGAGCCCACTTGGAGAGTCTTGTAGCCAGCAGGCCCAGCCCTCAGCCATTGGCAGAGACCCCCATCCCCAGTCTCCCTGAGTTTCCGCGGGCAGCCTCTCAGCAGGAGATTGAACAGTCCATCGAAGCACTCAACATGCTGATGCTGGACCTGGAGCCAGCCTCCGCTGCTGCCCCACTACACAAGTCCCAGAGTGTCCCCGGGGCCTGGCCAGGGGCTTCTCCACTCTCCTCCCAGCCCCTCTCCGGATCCTCCCGTCAGTCCCATCCACTGACCCAGTCCAGATCTGGCTACATCACCAGTGGGCATTCGTTGGGAACCCCTGAGCCAGCCCCGCGGGCCTCTCTGGAGTCTGTCCCTCCTGGCAGGTCTTACTCACCTTATGATTATCAGCCGTGTTCAGCTGGGCCTAACCAGGATTTCCGTTCAAAGAGCCCAGCCTCTTCCTCCTTGCCTGCCTTCCTTCCGACCACCCACAGCCCTCTAGGGCCTCAGCAACCCCCAGCCTCTCTCCCTGGCCTCACTGCTCAGCCTCTGCTCTCACCAAAGGAAGCGACTTCAGATCCCTCCCGGACTCCAGAGGAGGAGCCATTGAATTTGGAAGGGCTGGTGGCCCACAGGGTAGCAGGTAAGAGGTATTCCGTTCTGACTCCTTCTACCTCTTCCTTATTTGGTCTTCTTAGGGGGAGGTACAGGTCCAGCCATGACCCCTAAGCAGGTGTTGCTTTCACTGGTGGGAGGAGGCTCTCTGGAGCCTACATGTTAGCCAGTTATCCCTTCCTGCATTCATTGTCTGATAGGCACCAAGTCAGACACCAAGTTTCAAAGTTCAATGTCAAACAATTCCTGTCCTCAAGGAGTTTACAGTCTAGTGAGTGGACAGGTACACAGACACAAGATTTCATTAGAGAGTAATGCGTACTGTGACAGGACAGAGGCGGGACCAAGATCCCAGAGCCTGGGAAAGCAAAGCTTACCACCTAGGGCAGTCAGGGAAAGCTTCCAGGAGGTGGTGACTTTGGGGTTGGAGTACAGACTTTCTAGACAGAGAGGAGACTCTGCAATTGCCTGTCATGCTATCTGTCCTCAGACTTCAGTTTCTTGGGGGAGATGTAGAGAAGGCTGGAGGGAGGTCTTTATAGATTCAAATTCCCCCTTAGGCCCCACTCCCAGAAGCCATGAAAGAGCTGAGAGGGTATCCTCAAGCCCTTAGGCTCTATCTGCTGGGGCCTCTCAGGATATTGTCTTTGCGGGGAGGCCAAGGTTCCCCTTCCGAGTCAGTTTTCCTGTTGGTCTTTGCTGAGAACCAGCCCTGTATGGGAAGCAGGCACCGAGAGGAAAAGCTCCTTTTCCTGTCGGAGAGTGGGCCTGTCTTTTGGGAGAGAGGACAGTGGGACACTCAGAAGAGCTTTTGGGGAGACAAAGGCAAGAAATAGCAGCATGTCCAGGGCCATGTTGGGAGGGACAGCTGTGGGGTTCTCTTCCCACTAGTCTAAGCCTATGCCCATCCCACAAGGGTGGCTGAACTTGGCAGGAAGACCTGTTGGGTGACTTTGTTCTGGAGGTGAAGCCCAGACAGGGGTGGACCAGAGACTGTGGGTTTGGGTGGACCTTGTGCCAGCCCCTCAGCTGACAGGGTGGTGGGAGCTCAGCGAGGAGGAGAGGAGCCTGGGCAGCTGTCTCTGTCCTCCACCCCTTTTCCTAAATTTAGGGGAAGCTGAGTCACCATGCCAGCTGCAGGGAGGGAAGGAGACACCCTCCCTGGAGATGGACCGTGGGTTTAGGGAAGCAGCTTGGGGCAGGCCAGCTGGCTCAGGACCTGGTGTGGGGTCACAGGCTCCCTGCTCATGTACTTCAGAGCAGAGCAGAGTCCCCAGCTCCACTATTGGTATAATAGCTTGAAATTGGCCATTGCGGGAGTATTTACACCATGGAAATTGGCAATCAGCCTTACCTCCCATAGAGAGCTGAACTAGCAGTAACCATTCCTTTCACCTGAGCATAGGAACACAGGATGAGCAACTCTTAACTCTAGGGATGAAACGCTCCGTGGGTGGTCCAGGTGGGCTTTGACTTCTGCCTCCTCCTGCATCTGGGCCCCTGAGATAAAGACACCCCCCGGCTTTGTCAGCAGAGACCCTTTTCTTCTTGGTTTTATTGAGGGGAGGGGAATGGGGCTCTCTGAATTCCCTGGGAATTTAATTCCCCTCCCAATATTTTGTGAGGTTGGAGTGGTGGCCTACAGATTAGTGACATGTTAGTCTAATGAGGGGCAGGATCCAGGAGCCTTCTCTCTGGGGGAGCAGAATACATTTCCTCCCCTACAAGAACCCTTCCATGTAGCTCTCCTAGAGCTTGCTCAAGAGGAGGCCACAACCCTAATGGCCCTAGGAGGATGCCCATCTTGTAGCGGACTGCCTTTTAGCCCTTTCTCTCCTACCAGCTTTCGAGGGCTTGACTATCAGCTTCCATATTCTGTAGCCTCTCAGGCTTTGGCTGCCATGAAATCTTAGGGAGGGAAGGATACTGTTGGGACAATGTTCCCATTCCTTAACCCTGTTTCCGTTTCCTCCATCAACTGGGGGTGACTCAGGAGAAGGGATGAAATGTATAGAGGGGACAGTTATATTTGGTTCCCAGGGCTATGAAGTTGCCTCTTTGCTTCAAGCCCTGTCATTATAACAGAATTCATGTCAGCAGGTCCTGCATGTGTAATTTCCTTAGTAGCCTTTCAGGGTATCTGCAGTGCCTGTGTAGATAAAGGCAGACAGACAAGATCAATGTGTAGAACAGTCTGGGAGGCAGGGAAGATAGATTTCAGCACTACTTCTTTCTGCTCTTTCTACATCTCCGCTGTAAAAAGCTGGAACATGTACTTTGACATGAGTAACCTAGGAAGCTCAGATCTGTGGGAGAACCTCTTCATGGCCATGAACTTGATCTGTTTCTCCTGGCTTTCCTCCCCCAGGTCTGCCTTTTCCCCATTGGCTGTCCTCCATACCTCAGTCTCATGTCCCTGGTTTATTCCACTTTGATCTAATCACCCTTGTGCCTTATTCCAGTTTAAGTCATAGAGAATGTAGGGGCAGTTTTCTAATTTGATAAAGGGTAGGGACCAGAAACCTATAGCATGCATCACACTTTCCTGTGGAGCATTGGAAGCGTTCCTATTAGAGCCAGGGACAAAATAAGGATGTCTGTTATCACCACTTGCATCTAACATTGTATTGGATGTCCTAGCTAGTGCAATAAGACAAGAAAAAGAAATAAGAGTCAGAGCTGGAGAGTCCAATTGGGTTATCTTATGTCCCTGATTGTGTGACTGGACTGATCTCAGATGTCTCTAGAGGTAGAGATTTCAACGCATGTTGGAAATCAGATATGGATCTTATCCTTAAGGAGTCTAGAGTTTAGAAGGGGGAAAAGAACTGGAACTTTAAAACAGTCTTTTGTAATAAGAGAGGTAAGGAGAAAGCTCTGAAGGAGAGAGGTGAAGTGATCACTATCAGCTAGAGCTGGAGGAGGCAGTGTTAAGTGTGGTTTTTAAATTGAGCCTTGGAAGATGGATAGGATTTTGAAAGTAATTGGGATCACTGGGCAGAGAGGGTTCACAGTGAAGACAGGAGAGCAAAGAAAATGTTTGGAGCATGGCAAGTAGATTGAGAGCATATAGTCTCTGTGAGGGACAAGTCAGGATAGGTAGCCTGGGAGTCTGTCTCTTGATGGTCTTCAATACCAGACTAAGGAGCTTGCATCTTACCTGGCAGCACTGTAGGAAGCCATTACTGTGGTTTCATAGGGGTAACATGCCATGACCAGAGCTGAGGTTCAGGATGATGTGTGTGGTGGGTCTGGACAGGAAGGACACTACATGGGAGAGACTTCGAGCCAGGAGATGCTGGGAGCTTATTAGATAGCCTAAGTGATGCGGGGCTGGATTAGGGTGCTGACCATAGGAACGCAAATGAAGAGATGATGCCATGGATCCTGTGGGAGTAGAACCAATGCACTTATGTGTTGATTGACTGGAGTGGGTGAGGGAGAGGGTTCATCAGAAATGATTCTGAGCTCCATGAATAGAAATAGAATGATGGTTCTGTTAACAAGTAGGAAGGCAGAAGGAGGACATTGGGTGGAAGATGAAGCCTTGGTGTTAGACATGTTGAGTTTGAGGGGACAGTAGAGCCTCCAGGGAGAGACATATGGAAGGCAACTGAACTTTGGAATTGAGCTTGAAAGAATGGGAAGAGTTGCAGGTTTTGGAATCATTCTCACAAAGGTGATGGTTAAAACTTTGGATGTATATGAGATCTCAATGTCAGAGGACTTGGAGAGAAAATAACTTAGGATGGAATGGCCACGAAGAGAGGTAGAGTCTGCAAAGGGGCTGAGAGTGAGTGTTCGGGTGGTGGCAGGAGACCAGGACAGCATGTCATCACAGAAGTCAAGGCAGTAAAGGGTTTCACGGAGGAAGGGCAGGAGGTTAGCAGTGTCAGCCTGGAGAGATCATGAGGAGGACTGAGAAAAATCCACCGGACTTGCAAATTAGGCAACCCTGTGTAAAACATCAAAGACATATTTTTAGTGTGTGTTGGTGACAGAAACCAGACTATGGGGGATTGAGGATGAGTGGAGAAGGAGTGAAGACAGCAAGCCAACTACTCTTTTGAGTGGTTTTGTGATAAGAGGGGAGAGAGTGGTAGCTAAAGAGGATAGTGAGAGATTGGGGACTTTTGTGTAAATATAAGAGTCATGAGAATGTTTGTATGTAGAAGAGGAGGGGAGTAGGTTGGACATGTGGGGAGGAAGGACAAGAAAAAGAAGAGAAAGAAAGAAGTTGATAGAATAAGGTCTCTAAGGAGGTAAGAGGGGATAGGCCTAGGAGTCCACATAGGTAAATTAGGCTCAACCAGGAGGTAAGATGCCTCTTCATGAAATTAGAATAAAGGATAGATAAAGATAGAGGGAAATACTGATGTCAAGATTTGGGAGCTTGAATTGAAAACACTTGTTTTTTTTTTTTACATTTTGTTCTGAGAATAGGAGATGAGTTCAAGGCTCATTCAGTCATTCATTCGACATGAACTTCTAATGCGTGCTACTTGCCAGTTTAGGCTTTGTGAAAATGGTGGCAAACAAGACAAATAAAGATCCTTGCCCTTATGGCAGAGATGGATACTAAACAAATAAGCACATATACATAGGTTATGTCAGATAGGTGGTACGTGCCATTGAGATAAAGCAGTGAGAGGTAGGGGGTGGCTGGCTGCACTTTCCATGAGATGATCAGGACTGGGCAGTGAGAGATGAGCCCCATGGAGCAACAAGTACAGAGGCCCCGAGGCAGGAGTGTGCCTGGTGTGGCTGGAGCAGAGTGGTCAAGGGAGGCATAGCAGGACACAAGTTCAGAGAGGAAATGGGAATGGGGACAGCTTACAGAGAGTCTTCGAGGTGATTAAAAGAGTGGTGGCTTTTACTCCATATGGCATGAGAAGCCTTAGGAAGGATTTGGGCCCAAGAGTGACATCATCCGACTTGTTCTGAATTGACCAGGGTGGGCAGGATGGAAGGAGGGAGAGCAGTTAGGTGGCTGCTGCTGGGCAGTGGCCATGGAAAGGGGAGAAGAGT